AACTCAGGTTTTCCTGATTTTAAGGCCAAACTCTCTATCTACTAGCCATGCTGCCTCAATCAAAGGTGTTATATATTGTAATAATTAAGTTCACTCTACCAAAGGAAGCAATGAACATCAATTTTTCATCCAGATGAAATCACATGTATGTACCAAAGCAAAAAATAAAGGAAGAGTAAGTGTACAGCCAGTCAACTTACGACCTCTCTTGATGCTTGGCAAATTAAACACTATTTAAAATTATTTTAAAAGTGGAAAAAATGCTTAATTAGCATTTCCAACCTAAGTTTTTATCCCTGATCAGCAATCGAGGTAACAACTGACACTGAAATCACAGTTCACATTATTTTCTCAGACTGTCAAATTCTTCTCATCATAAAGTAAGACTAAAGAACACATTATTTATTGAACATCAAGGAATGAGATAACTCATATGAATTAATTCCAGATTAACTGAAGGTTATCTTTTTCAGCATCTTTATTGATGGAAATCTTTCTAAAAATTATTTCTTCTTGATGTCTTAAACACAGTAATGATGAATAATCTTAACTGTCTTGATGCCAGGGTCATCATTATGATCTTCAATTATTGTACTGTGTTCCACGTAATGAAGAGATACCCTCAGGGGCTCCTGAGGTAAGTGGATCATACTGTTACTTGCCACTGCACTGAACAGCTCCATATTGCTGAGCTTTCTGAGTTCCTGTATCGTGTTTTTTTATAATTTGTCTCCCTTTCATCTATTACTTCCTGTTGCTGTCACATGCTGGTCTCTAGCTAGCAGCAATCTTCACCACTTTCCCCTGCATTTTTAAACTCCATCAGGCAGGGAAAATTGCACAAATGACTTGGTAAAAGTGTGTTTAATATGTACTCGCTGAGGAACCTGAATAGCTTTCCTATGGGTCAAGTACATGTATTTTAAACTCTCTTAAGGCCTCAGAACTATTTCTTTGTGAAATGAAGAGAGGAGAACTCTATGATATCTAAGGCCCCTTTTCAGAGCTTTAGCATTCAATGAACTATGTAACACTTATTTTGGGTTTTCAGAGGCTTTTGGGTGGGCTTAGTCACAATAGTTTTGACCTGTTCAGGTTAGGTGAGCTTACTTAATAAGTGACATCCAGGTAGACAAGGAGTTCGGTATGTTTTTATTAGCTATTAGTATAATTTCAGAAGGATAAAACTATTCTGAATTTCTACAGTGAAAATCTAAAATGTTAATGGTTAAGAATTTTAAGTCATTGTTTGAGAGATGACCTTTAATGGTCCTGATTTCTCAAAAAGCTTTAAGCTCACAATGAATTTTCAGTGGGGTGCCTGTGTGTGTGTGTGTGTGTGTGTGTAAAGGGGGGAGGAGCTTGCTCAGGCTGTATAGTAAAACCAAATGTTTTGAATATCTTTTTATTTTCCTGATTTTATTTATAGTTATTCATTAGAACCAAACTATAAGAAGCTCTCAAAAAGTTTCTGAATAGTAACCCTATTCCTTAAGCTACAAATAGCCAAAAAATAGCTAGTACCTATGGAAAAGTGTCTCTATGCCTAGATAAAATTTGAATCCACTTTTAACTCCAGTTTCTAAAATCACCATCTTTTCAGAAGCAAAGTATGCTGAGAATTTGTTTGTGCATTTAAATATTTCTATTTGTCTGTGCCTGATCTTTATCCTCTGGCTAGAACTCAATGTACTTGATTCCTAACCTCTGTTTCTTGTGATCACTTTTTTCTCTTCATAGTATTCTTCTCTTTTTCCTATATTGTAATACATCTCATATGTAACTTTTATCTCTAAGACAGAAGCAGGCTCAAATGCAACAAGTCCAAAACTGACTCCTCATCTTCTCCCTAAATGATTCCTTTTACAAACTTGCTGATTTTTATCTAAGTTACCTGTCTCCTGGGTTCAAAACCTTGGTGTTATCCTGGACTCTTCACTTTCCATCATCGTATATCCAATCAGATGCCAAATCTTGCCATTTCTGTTTCCACAACATCTTGCATCCAAACCCTTCTCTCTACCTAGAGAGCTACCATTTTAATTCAGGTTCATATCACCTCTCACCTAGATTACAGACATAGCCTCTTAATCTTAACTGGTCTCTGCCTTAAATCTCTCACTACTCTACTCCATCACATACGCTGCTATCAAAATAAATTTCCTGAAGTGCAGATGTGACCCCATAACTCCCCTAAACTCCAGTGGCTTCCAACTGCCTCTAGAATAAAATATAAACTCCTGCATTTAGCTTTTAAAGACCTACAAAACTTGAATTCCAGCCTCATCAGACATTACTCCCTCTCCTATGTCTGAAATCCATCAAACAGGCCCTCTCTCTGTTCTTCATACATGATGATAATAATGATGATAACCAGCATTCACTTTAAGATATGCAAAAGCACTTTAAAAGTGTTAGGTCATTTATTCTTATAACAGCACTACTGTGTGAGGCTAGGACTCCTGACCCCAAGTCTAACTCTCTATCCCCTGCACCACCCAACTGCTCCACTTCCCATCTTGGCCTGTATAAGGGCAGTCCCACATACCTGGAATGCACTTTCTCCTTACCTCCTCCTCACAGTCCCTCTCTTCCTTTAAGGACACACCTCAAATACCATCTTCTCCATGAAGCCTTTCCTTATTCCTCCCTCCAACTGCTAATGCCTCCCTTTCAAACTACCCTATATTTAACTACTCTGTATATATCTGCATTTGTTTACTTTATATGAAGTAGTCCCACAGTATCACAGCATCTATCTAGAGTTGGAAGGGACCTCAGAGACCATCTACTCCAATTCCCTCATCTTTTAGGAAACACAGGCCCAGAGAGAAGTACTATTCCTTAAGTCATACAGGTAATATTAGTGGTAGGATTCGGGCCCAGATCCTATAACTCCAGAGTCCATGCTTTTTCTACTGTCACAAGGTATATAAATAATGCAAGGAAAGTGCTATGTAAAATCTCACCATTCAAACAGATTTGCAATCTCACTGACTGCATCTCTCCCTCCACTGAAGGGAATTTTCAATGGCTATGCCAGTGAAACACAAACTATGGAAAGTTCTATTCCTGCTGGAAAGGCTTCAGTTATGGTCCAGTAAAAGTACTGAGTCTGCTTTCCAAGGACAAGCCTAACTAAATGTAGAGTCTCATCCCCTCTAGGCTAGTCATTTGGCAACGAAATCCTTACTCATATTGACTTATAAAGAAAAGAAAATACAAAAGGCCTTTTGTCTTCCGGAACAACCGTTGCTCCACTCTTGAAACAGTAGGGGTAGAATATGCTAAGAATCACGTCGTTTTTAAACATCCATGAACTAACATAGCTGCTGACATTTTGCATGTGAAATGCTCATCCAATGATCAATGAATAAACATACTACCAGAAGAAGTTAATTGTTATGAACCCTGACAATCCCAGGTATAAAAAAAAACCAGAAAATAGAAGGGAGCTTTACACTATAGATAAGCAGAAGGACAGCTCACACATTCCTGGATAGGAAGGCAAATGGAAGAAGTGGTAGAAAAGGCTTTATCACATGTCCACAAGTATGAGAACCTATCTCATGGGATAGCTGGTCATCTCCCATGGCAACTGCTTATAGACACCCAACATCTTCTGCAGAGAATAAAAAGGTAGAGGAATTTTGTAAAGCATCCAATAGGACCCTCCTAATTAAACCAATATATACTTTGTAACATGGTATATTTTAAAGCATCACATGACTATCAGCTATTATTAATTTTTATTATTTTTAAAAGCCACTTTTCACACGATCTTCTTGGTTAATTCCTGTCACTTCTACTTATTTTCTGCAGCTTCATGCAGGTGGCCAGAGATGGGAATCAATAATCATCATCTATATTTATAGACTGCCATATAATTTATAAAACATTCACATAAACAATTATACTTTCTCCTAATAACAATTCTGTAAGTTAGATATGAAAGCTATATTATATCTGGGCTCAAATCCTACAACTATATTACAGTTGGAGAAGCCGAAGGCCAGAGAAGTTAAGTTACTACCCAAATTGACACGTCTACTAAATGGTGGAGGTGGTGTTCAAAGTCAAATCTCCTTAATCTAGGGTTCTACCCATTTATACCCTGCTGCCTCCTGGACCCCAACATTGAGGGCAATCAAAACAAAAGTACCTTCTGACGCGCCTCCTAATAATACCTCCTGTATTATTCATAGCAATAGCCATGAAGTAACAAATTGCTTTTCTTTGGGGAGATGCAGATAATTTAGGACTCATACACTGAGTCACAGATTATCACTGAGAAACTTTTTGTCTTGGGTTTGGACTATGTCTCATTGCATATTATTGATACCTTCAAAGATTAATAATACTCATTCTGTGGATGTATTACATAATTTTTAAGGCCAAAGAAGACAGCAGTATTACAAATAATGGATATTTCTCTTGGTATCTAAATGTTCTACTAGATCTGTTATATAATTTCCTGTTAAAATATAACAAAAAGTAGGCAAGAATAATTAAGATATTTGTTCATAAGCATACCTTTTCAATAAACATCTTTTGAATATATTTTCCCTTAATAGTTAATGTTTCATTTTATTTACTACAACATATTGAAGGCACCATTCACTACTTGCGTGACCTGGGGCAAATCTCTTAAGCTCTGTAGGCCTATTTGCTCATCTATAAAGAGAACTGGTTACACTAGATGACCCCAAAGGCCCCTGCCAACTCTAAATCTATAAACCTGTAAGCATCAACTATGATATCTGATGAAGAATTTAATACAGTTTCTGAGAGAAGCAATCTTGTCTTTGTTCATGAAACCAACCATGGATACAGACATTTATCTATTTAAATATCCTAGAACATTTGAAAGAACATTTTTGTTTAGATAAAACAAATCACAAATAAACTTGAAAATATTAATGTCTATAAATAAATAATGAAGCAAACTTTTCATGCAATATTCTGGCACATAATAGCCCCACAAAATTTAGAGATCTTACACTTGGAGATGGCTCTGTTCTTTCATACTGTATTTCTTCTTTTCCATTTGCTTCAGACTGTGTCAGTTGGTATGATCTGCCTTCAATGAAAGTAATATAGTCTTTGTAAGAGCATAATGGGCCTGCCAGGATACCCATGAAATTACAGTTGTAACTTAAATACTCCAGTAGACTTGGCATGCGTCTGGAATTCAAAGACAAGCATCTTGTAAGATGTAGCATAATATTTTAAGAGGTTTACTACAGGACTAGCCATTCTTCCTACTGCTGTTTTTTCTATTTCCAAAATAAATTAGGGGTTTTTTTGCTTGAATTCCTGTAATAAGAATGTGCAATAACAGAGTGCATCAAAGTTAAATGATGTTTTTTGCATCATAAATCTCTGTAGAGGTATTCATTTTTAAATTTCCCACTAAGTAGTACAACTTAAAATGGATTATGTATAATGATGTGGAAATTTATGTAAATTATTAGCAGATAGAGCATTTTTATTCTGTGATCTGCTTATTATTCTATGGAAACACTGTGAGTCCAAACATGGCTGCTGCTTGAGATGGAAAAAAGTTAATAATTTTGATAAGTTTTAGGTTGAAAATGAAGAGAATTTATGTTTTTGTCTTGTAGACTAGTTCTATGATTGGGGGCTATGGACTTCCAAAAAATGAAAAACTATTAATGATAAAAAGGATATCCTGGAATACTTCAATATTTCACTGTGATTTCACTGGAATGAATATTCTCTCTACTCAAGTAGACTACAACCTCTCTATGACTTAGAAGGTCTTTAAAAGTTACTACAGCTGAAAATCTCTTCACCTGGCAACAAATATGGGTATGTAGCCCTCCAAATTTTGCTAGGCTGATCCTTGGATAACATAAATACACTCCATCATAGGGTTTATCCTTGAAGCCCTGGCAGTGTGGAAAGGCCTGTCAGAGCTTGTACATGGAACTTCAAGGTCATCTCTATGCCATCAGGAGGCACCAGAACCCATGTGTCCTAACTCCCAGACCCGTGGGGTTTTTTTCCCCCCACTCCAGAAATACCTCCTGTAAGTAGCATCATGGACATTGTTTTTTATGAATAATAATATAATGTTTTCCCCCCTCAAGTTTCCCAACTATAGTCAGTGAAGTCTGAGCAGCCTCCTATTCAACATAGTCCAGATGATTTTGGAAATACGAAACAACCTAGGGGCAGCTAGGTGGTTCAGTGGATAAAACACTAACCCTAGAGTCAGGAGGACATGAGTTCAAATCTGGCCTCAGACACTTACTAGCTGTGTGCCTTAGTTTACTTATCTGTAAAATGAGCTGGAGAAGGAAATGGCAAACCACTCCAGTATCTTTGTGAAGACAACCCTAAATGGGGTCATGAAGAGTCAGACACAACTGAAAAATGACTGAACAACAATACTATACTAATAATGATAACTAACATTTATATAGAGGTTTAAGGTTCACAAAGTACTTTACTTACATGATCTCATTTTGATGCTTACAATAAAAAAACCCCAATATTTCCAATTTTATAGATAAGGAAATGGAAGTTTAATTAACAAAACCAGGGATGTCAACGGCAGGAAGTGAGCCTAGGTATCTCTTGACTTTTCAGTCTATCACTTTCTATACTACATAATTTTGTCTCTCTGAGTCTACTATGATGTTATTCCATTTACATAATTTAATAGATCAAATAAAATTAAATTTTCCATAATTTTATTAACTGTCATTTGGTTATTCCTCAATGTATACGCTGACTTATTTTTCTAACAGCTTTCTATTAGCACTAGTTTTACATATAGCAAGACATTTCTTAATGAAAGTATTTTTGTGTTACAAAAGAGAATTAGAAATTTTAACATTTTTAATACATTAAAACTGATAGCTGTTATAGGATTAAGTCATCCCTTGTATAAAAATGAGGTACATGCACTATTAACAGTTAGCAGAGTATAACATTAAAGCAATGATCTAGACAGAAATAATGACTCGTAAGTTCATTTACTAGGCCAAAAAATATAGTCTACTGTTTCAGAAGCCATCTCCAAATATGCCATTAGCCAAATCAATAAATAAAATTATCTATTTGTGAAAATCAGAGTTGTTCAAAATTTTGGAAATTTTCTGATTCTATTAACATGGTATGAACAAAGAAAAACACAGCAATTCACTTTATTATTTATATCAAGCCTGAGGTCATGGTAATAGAAATGAGATCCAGTTTATGGGTTTCTTCTCCCCCCACTCCCCCCTCATTCCTAGTCATCACTGTCATATGTACTTTAATATTCATATTGAAAAACCTTCTAACAAGCTGACCTCATAATTCTCTACTTCCTCTACAAAAACAATCTCCTCTTCATCCATCCTACTTCCACCAAACATTAGTACTGTCATATCTTACACTTCATCATCTTTCAGAAATAGGCCATCTCTAAGATCTGGAGTCACATCTAAGATATAAATATACCATCTCTAAGATCTTGAAATTCCCCTCAGACCACAACTTCCCTCTCCCTCCCCGCCTCTCTCCCTCTCCACCTCTTTATTTACTCTTTTTCCCTTATCATAACCTACACAGAGGACAGACCCAGGACCTAAGCTTTAACTCATCTAGGAAACTGCTGGATTAGAAAACTACCGCTGCCAATGTAAATGGGCATCATCTCCACAACTGCCTAGAACATAATGACATGCCCAGGGTCACAATCAGTATGTGTTAGAAGTGAGATCTGAACCCAAGTCTTTCTGGCTCCCAGACACTCTCAGGACCTGCACATGAACCTTTAATCCAGGCTATGTCCTGAGTTCTAGATTCACTTGCTTCCATACGCAGCACTGGTCCCCTGTTCTCTAGTCACTACCCTATAAGCCCTGAAGCTCATGATTTTCCATCACTCTCAGTCTGTGAATCCTCATCTCTGGGCAGTCTTTACCATCCAATTTCTCTGATTCTGCTCCAGAATTAGCAAGTTTGCTGGACGACATAATGAAATGGAACTGATTTCATTCTCCACAAAGTTATGGGCAGAAAATGACAATAACAATGGATGTTAACATAATACTTTGAAGTTTGCCTACATCCATACATTATTTCACCTAAAACAGCCCGATAGGGTAGATGCTGCATCTATTGTTATCCCAAGATTTCTGATGAGGAAGGTAAGAGTCAGAAATATTGAGTAACTGGTCCAAGTAATAGGGCTAGTGATGGCTGCAGGCAGGAAATGAACTCAGATTTTCCTCATTCCAGTTCTAGCAATGTATCCAACTAGACTACACTCCCTACATCACCTCAGCTGGACTCTAGTTGCTGCTTAATGTTTCTCCTCCACCCTTCTCTTGTCCCTATTTCCCTGCTCACAATGACTGCTTCAGGCCATTCTTTTATCTTCTAGCCTCCAACTGTATTCCTAACTCCAGCAGTTTCAGCAGGATGTCCTAGCCTTCAACTTCACTGCGATGATTAAAGCCATGTGACAAGCTCCCTCACCTCCTGCCTCTGATCCTCAAAACTTATTTGTTTCATCAAATACTTTTTGTCCTTGCTTCTAGGCACAGAGGAAGAAAATACTTAATTTGGCTAATGGTCTCTACTTATTCTCTGTATCTCCTTCCTTCCTATGTCTTCCAGGAATCTGAACAGGCAATCATTCCTTCTCATGTGTCTTCATCTGTCTACAAAGATTCTCAGGTTTTTTCGGTCTTAAAGGAATCTTTTCTTAACCCTTAACATCAAGGGCACCACCATCTTCCCAGTCAGTCATTCAAGCTCACAACCTAGGTATCGTCCTCAATTTCACTCTCTCACACTGACCTCCCTTCCCCTCCCATATCCAGTTAGTGGCCATGTCCTGTCAAGATTCTACTTTCCCACTATCTCTAGTATATGCTTCCTTCTCTCCTCTGACACTGCAACAACCCTAATGCAGGCCCTTCTCACCTCACACCTGGACTACTGCCCTAGCCTGCTGGTTTGGTCTATATATAATCTCTCCTTAACATTCTCCTTCACTCTGAGAGCTTCAGCCCCTAGATAGAGGACTGTTCAATCATTCCCTGTAGTCTTAACTTCCCTTCTGAGCTTGAAGCCCAAATCTCTAGTGGTCTGTAGGATAGTGGCACTGGTATACTCCACTTGCATCTTTCTTTCTAAATATGGTCCTGCTATGATTTCTCTAGTTATCTATGAACCCATCTATTTCCCTATTTCCCATATCTGAAATATGCAGTGGTCTTTTATGCTCTGTTCTCCCTCACCTTTGGCATTTGTAGATTTCTCTTCCCCAAGGTCTCTCATCTATCCCCTCCTCTCTATACCTACTGATATTACTATCATACAAGCCCTTATTAGCAACTGCCTGGACTACTATAATAAGCCTCCTCAAAAAGTTTTTCTACTTCTAGTTTCTCTTTAGATCCAACTGATCTTTTACACTACTTCTAGAATAATCTTTCCTTCCCACAGATCTGTCTGTCACACTCCAGAGATAAGAAACCTCTAGAAGATATTGACTGCCTATGTGTAAAGTTCAAATTCCTTTTCCAAGCATTCATAGCTCTTCGTGATCTGATATCACCCTACTTACCCTGCTTCATCTTACTCTCTTGCTTTCCTTCCCATCCCAATCCTACTCCCCGAAACATTTTGCACACTCTGGCCTCTTTGTCTTTATTCACATTGTTCCCTCTCCTGGGAATGTTCTCTTCACCTACTGAATTCCTACTCATTCTTTAAAAACCAATTCAAGTATCTCCTTTCACCAAATGAAACTTTCCCTGATCCCCATCCGAAGAACTAGTAATGACCCTCTCCTTCATGTCTCATATACCACACTTGGTTTTACAATTCCTGAATGGGCTAATGCAATTAATATTGCATATTATAGTAAGATGGCGTTGTGTTTTACCCCTCATTGTGAGATCCACAATGGCAGGAACCATGTTTCATCTAAATCCAGAATCTAACACAATGTTCTGCAGACATTTAATATTTGTGACTTGAATGCTAAATGAATGAAAATAGAGGAAGATTTATTTTTTGCTTATGAGAATGAATTTTTTTTATTTCTTAATTGTCGCATATAATACACAATATTCTTTTTCTTCTCCCGCAGTATATAATGAACATGCCAAGAAAGAGATTCAACTTATCAATACATTATTAGCTTTGAAAAACTACTCAACACAAGACCAAGAAACTAAGAATTAGGTACCGTAAAGAACATACCTTACAGCCAAACCTCTCTGTGATGGAGTTAGTTCTTCTTCTTTTCGAAACATACCTATAAAACAAAAATATGCTACTTCATAAATGATATATATTTTTAAGGACAGATAGCAAGCATCTTATCATAAAACTGGAAAGTGATTTTATAGATGTGGTCTGTCATTTTATGAAAAAGTAAACTGTTGCATGCTTCAGTCAATTGTCTGAGATGGTGAAAACATGCACTATAAAAGGATCACAAATTTTTAACCATAATGGGCCCAAGATGCCATCTAGTCCAAATCTTTCATTTTACAGAAGTCAGACACAACTGAAACAACTGAACAAAAAGAACAGAAGTCACTTAAACTCACTATGCTTAGTGACTCAAATGCCAACTGCTTATTGCTTCTCTGTTTTGTTAAGATGGATTTTTTTTCAATTCAGGGAGTTTATTTTAAATCAATGAAAATAGTTCTGGACCAAAAAAATCACTGACTTCATTATTCTTTTGTAAGGCACTAGGTATGATTTCCTTTGAATGCTTTAGTTCTCAGTCCTATACAATGAAGATAATAAAGATCACATCATGATATCATAATAAGCTATCCTTCCAATCCAGCAAGCATTTATTCAGCACCTACTATGTGCGCTAGGGATACAAAAACAAAACAAAGAACAGTTCCTATTCTCAAGAAGTTTATATTCTACTGTGTATCTTTAAGTTTCAAAAATCTGACAGTGTTATCCACTGGAGTATTCATAATAGTTTTACTGATGAGATTATTATAGGTGCACTGTGGTGGAACATAGATGGCAATCTCCTTGATTAGCCAGCTAATTTCTTGCCCATTTAACAGCTCTCTCCATTCTATTTGCTAAGTAACTGCATTAGTAAGTAGATTATTAAGTACCAACAAAATGGATAGCTGAAGTGTCAAGTTACTAGTGTTACTGAAAGTACTCTGGAAGAAAATAGTTAAACGTAATCACACAAAAACATAGGAAGCTTCATTTTTAAGGAAATGCATGTTAGTATTTATAAGCACTCAGCAAGCTGCTAGTGGAATAACCTATTGCTTTAAGAGCACTTTAAAAGATATAATTAAAGTAGTACATTTTTGGTAGGTTCTAAAACAACTTAATCCAAAACCCAAATCCACTACCCCCTTTTCAAAAAATATCCCTCTGGTATCACCACCAAGATCAAGAAGATTATGAACTTGTGAGAGGCCTCTTTTTGCCTCTTGTTTTGGGGTCATGAACAAATATCTATACTTGTACCACAAATTTAAAATCCTGGCACTGACAATTATTAGTTGAATGACTAATAATATCTCACATTTATATAGTGCTTTTAGATTTGCAAAGTGCTTTACATACATTCTCCAACATGATCCTCACAACTATCATAAGAAGTAGATACCGTTGTTCTCTTTTTTTATAGATGAAAAAACAGGCTCAGATGGACTGTGACTTGTTCAAGGTCATAATGCTAATAATTAATACTATAAATATATAATAATCTTGCATCTCCAACTGCCTTCCAGACATCTTGAACTGGATGTCCAGCAGATATCTTAAATTTATTATGTTCAAAAAGGGAGCTCATGATGTTTCCCCCTAAACCCTCCCTCCTACCCTTTCTTATTTCTGTAGAGGACAATATCATCCTTCCAGTCTCTCAGGCTTGCAACCTATGAGTCATCCTGGAATTCTCATTATGTCTCGCCCACCATATCCACCTATGTGCATTTGACCACGTTTTCCCATGCCTGGAGTGCACACTTTTCTCATTTTTAGTTATTAAAATATTTGTCTTTCTTCAAGGCCTTGTGTAGGTACTACTACTCCTATAAACCTTCCCTGAGCACTTTGGTTATTAATGCTCTTTCCTTACTCAGAGTACCTTAAACTTACTTCACTGTATACAGATTGAATCCCCAGATCTAGCAGAATATAATTTCCCTGACGACAGGAACTTTTCTTACTTCAATTCTTGAAAACCCCAAGTACCCAGCAAGTGCTTTATTTATAGTAGTTTAATGTTTATTGAATTGAATCCCTGGATCAAGAAACACTGATTAAACACTTCTGGGTGGCAGAGCAGCAGTTGTATGTAATTTTCAAATAGGGTTGAAAATGACTAGAAATGAAAAAAGGCATAAAAAATTGCCAGGTCCCTTGGCTGCACATGATCAAGTCATGATAAAAATTTATAAGAATTAATTCCTGACCAATTGTAGCATTTTATCAAACAGACTAAATTATAGATATTTTACTGATAAATTTATTACATAATTGAAAATGTTAAACTTGTATTGATGTTCTTTATTTGCAGCCTACTACACCCTTATTAAAAATGAAGACAACAAAAAGTGAATACAAATGTGGAATACTACTGATAGAAAGTTGATTATGTGAAAAACAAGTCCTTGTAATTTTATGATACGTTTATTTAAAAATTGCATTTACCAATGAACCCTCATGAAATAATTCTGTTTTCATACAAATTCCCTGAAAGGAAACAATCACCTAAACTTATACCGGAACATTTTAGCATAGCACAAATAAGATTTCGCATAATACTCTGATAAAAACAGTTGATACCAAAATTTTTGTTTTCCTTTTCAATTGACATAATTAAGAGTATGCCCTGAGAAAATAAATTTCACTTAAGGATTTTACAACATTCCTGTAAATATGAAAAACTCAATACTCTTAAACTGCTTAAAGTTAAAAATGTACACATTACATTGGCTTCTGATTATATTTACAAGTACTACACACCAGAACACCATTAAGAAAACATTTACTTGAACTACTACCAAATGAATAGATCAGAGCACTCTTATTTAATTCAAACATTCTTTAAGCACATGTAAGGCACTGTAAAAGCCACTTTGAGGAACAGAGAAATAGGGCATAGCACTCAGGGACCTTACAGTATAAATAAATACACATACAAATCTAAAATGAAATATACAATACAAAAGGACATGAAATGCAGAAAATAAGATGGGAATTTAGATATTTACAGAAGCACCAGAATTCAACTCCTGCTCTAGTACTAAAAGGGCCAAAAAACAGGGTTTTAGAGTCTAACAAGGATCCTACTTCAGTATTTCAATGGATGTATGACTTTTTCAATAAAGGTTCTTCCTTAATCTGAATATCACTACCCATCCCTGCCATCTACTGCTGCGCAATACTTTTTCAAGTCCTCCTGTGAATCTTCCATGGAAGTCTAGCCTTCCTCTAAGGTCTAGGGGCCTCTCTATAAACACTGCATAGACACCAATGGATCGTATGGATTCTTTACTAGTAATCCCTTACTTTCTCTACATTACTGGCTCACCTTTTTTATACTCACACATCTCTCCAATGATAGTTTTTTTTTAAGTTTTGACATGTTTTGTTTCTACATTACAAACATTTCAAGACTACCTATACCCTGTGAGAGTTCTCTTATAGTAAAGTAAAAACAATTTAGCAAAACTAACAATACAGTGACTTCATTTCAAAATACATATAATATTGCACACCTGTAGCACTGCCCCCCAAAACCTCCAATTTAAAAGTGTATTTTGAATGAATAGAAATCTGTTTTCTCTCCCTATTATACCTCCTTCCACCCCACTGGGAAAAAAAAAACCTAAATTCTAAGTAACAAATATGCATAGTAAAGAAAAACAAATTCCCTTATTAGCTCTAACTAAAAACATTTCTCACTCTGTACCTTAAATCCACCACTTTTCTGTCAGGGTGTGGATAGCATGTTTCATAAGTCCTCTGGAATCGTGGATAGTCACTGCACTGATCACAGTTCTTATAGGTTTCAATGTTGTTTGTCTTTACAATGTTATTATTGTATAAACTGTTTTCTTGGCTCTGTTCATTTCATTCTTTGTCCTTTTATAAGTGTCTTCAAAACTACTTGATTTTATAATATTGATGTTAAAGTATAAATTGCTCATCTGGTTCTACTCACTTCACTTTGCATCAGTTCATTTAAGTCTTCCTATGTCTCTGAAATCATCTATTTCCTCATTTATTACAGCACACTAGTATTCCATCGCATTCCTATACCATATTTTGTTCAGCCATTACCTAGCTGATGGGCATCCCCTTAGTTTCCAGTTTTTTGCCACCACAAAAAGAGCTGCTACAAATATTTTATACGTATAGGGTCCTTTCCTCTTTCTTTAATCCTTTTGGATATAGGTCTAGCAATGGTAAAAATGGATCAAAGGGTATGTATGCACTGCTTAGTGACTTTTTGTGTATAATCCAAATTGCTTTCCCAAATGATTATACTCATTCATAAGTCCACCAAGAGTGAATCAATGTACCTGTTCCCATAGTCTCTCCATCATTAAACATCTTCCTTTCTATCATCTTTGCCATTCTGACAGGTGTGAGATAACCTCAGCGTTACCTTAATTTACATTTCTCTAAAAAGTAATGATTAGGAGCAATTTTTTTCATATGTTGACTGACAGCCATGATAGTTATCCTTAGGGCTGCTTTTCCTGAACAATTCTAATTGGCAATATCTTGAAACATATTCATTATTGTTGAGGGTACTACTATCTTCCCAGTCACCCATGGTTGCAACCTTGGTTGTATCTCCAACTCTTACTTCCTCACAATCAATCTGTTTCAAGGCCTGTTGATTTTCACTTTTGTGATGTTTTTTGTATATGCCCCTTTCTCTCCTTGCCACCTTGACCCCACCCTACTGCAGGTCTTCATCACCTTGTGCCTGGAATTATGCCAACAGCCTAATGCTGGGTCTCCCTTCCACAAGCTTCTCCCCACTCCAGTCCATCTTCCACTCAGATGTCAAAATGTTTATACTAGAGTGCAGGTCTGACCACGTAATTATTCCCTTATTCAACAAATTCCAGTGGCTCCTTAATACCTCCAGGATCAAATACAAAAACAAAACCACTGGTCTTCAAAGCCCTTCATAATTTGCCCCCCTTCCATTCTCCTTATATCTTCTATGCCCCTCCCTGCCCCCTCCCTACATTCCAGGTACTCTCTGATACAGTGACACTGGCCTCCTAGCTA